GATGGTGACAAATGCAAGGGCTTTCTGTGGAGTGACTGTCCCTTCAGCCTGTCGGTCAGCTCTGAGCCTCAGTAGTGTCCCAGGAGGATGAGCTGGAAGGTGTGGTCTGCAGAACAGTGTCCCCAAAGATGCCCATATCCTACTCCCAAGAACCTATTAATAGGATCCTTTGAATACATAACAGTTCAGGACCTTAAGATGAGGAGATCACCCTGAACTATCTGGGTGTCCCATTCTTAAGGCAGTCTTCTGAGGGAGAGGGAGGAGGACCAGAGTCAGAGACAGGCTGAAGGATGCTGCACTGCCAGCTCAATGTGGTGGGAAGTGTGTGCACTGGAGAGGGGTCGCTCTCATATCCCTCGGGAAAGGGGGACGCTGAGGCAGTGCTATCCACAGCAAAGCTGGCTATGTGCCAGCCTACAGGGTCAGGAACCAACTCCTCTCACATTTCACATTAGCATTTCATTCATTATTCTTCATTCTTCCTTTTTACCTTTTTTCATGAGAGAGAATACATACTAGTGCCACGCCTACTCTGGTGGAGTCTGCTTAGCATGGGAAACCTGCTTTCAGACCAGAGAATGGGGCTTCACAGAAGCCTATCTCTGAGAATGGGACTTCACTGAAGTCTACCTCAGAGAAAGAGGCTTCAAAGAGGCCTACCTCTGAGAATGGGACTTCACCGAAGTCTACCTCAGAGAATGGGGCTTCAAAGAGGCCTACCTCCTGGAAAGGCTGGCAAGCCCCTGGGAAAGATGTGTTTCTGTCCCTGCTTTTCTTTTCTTCACTGTATAAGAGTGCCTATTAATCTTTTACTGTTTCTGCTGCTCATCGTACTTACTCATGCTCAACGTTCCCTTATTTAAGGCTCTTTCTTAAGAGTGTTGACAACTCCAACATCTGATGAGTGTCTTAAAAATATGACTAACTCACCAGAGTTAAGTGCTGCCCTGAAACCCCTCTTATGGAGGCTAGTAGACAAGTCATAAGTAAATATAAAAGTATTGGAGGTTTCACGACGTCACTTCAGCAGAAGGAATTGTTTGTAAGAGATTTACAAGAAGCTGTAGGCATGGCTAGAGCAGAAAGAATGTATGGCAATTGCTGGGATAACTACTTAGGAGAAAGAACTTCCTGTTACTCTCTTTCATTTACTAAGAGACTTGCTAGATCTAGGCCTCCTTGGTGCTTACTATTAAAGAAGGAACAGGAAAGATCTTATGGGACAGTTAAGGCCTCTATAGAAAAAAGTAATGGTTAATTGGTGACAAACATCGAAACCCACTGTATTCCTTAAAAATACAGATAAGCCGGAAACAAGTGCCTACCGGGAGACCAGCTGGTGACCACCCAAGAATGAAGCCCTGCAACAAGATTGTGTAACCTTTTGCTATAAAAGCTTGTTATCCTCTGCATTAAATCCCACTCAGCATCCACTCTTGGGTGTGAGTTGTCTGTTTGCCATCTCCCCACCTATTCCAGTTCCTCCACCAGGTGTCCTGCGTCGTCCTGACAGAGCCGGTCTGTGCCATAATAGAACTCTTTTTCCCAAATACAAAATCACACTTTAATATTTAAGATATAATAGGGAGTGATTGTACTGAATTGTTGTGCATATTTTACCTTAGAATGTAGGAGAGAATGTCATTAACAGTGAAGCCCAAGGAATTGCTTCCTCATTCTAAAGCAAGGTGACTTGCTTTTGACAGGACTACCAAATCGTACCAAAACCATATTACTTCTCCTTTTGCCAACCTAGAGAATCCCATTTTCTTTTGTTAACTTTTTCTAGGAACTGACTAGTAAATGAGATAGACTTACTTTTTCAGAAAAACTGAGCTTACAGTGACAGTGACAGATTCATAGCTACCAGATTTAATTACCAGATTTCAACACAGCCTGGAGCAGATGTACAGTTTAGCTTCACAACATCTACCTTGGACTTGGCATCACTGCATGGAGACCGACTTTTGAAAGCATTTCCTTTGATCTAATTCATCCACTTGCACTGCCCATCTTCCTGACACTGAGGGGCTCTGAGGGCTGTCGCCCAGACACTGGTCTCTGCGTTTACAGTCCGACCGAGGAATGACACACAGTTTGTAGTGTGGCGGGACGCTGCCTAAACCAACTGCAATCGGGGTAAGGTCAATGGCCGCGGGGTCCACCAGAGACTTCAGATTAAAATGCTGCAGGATAGCAGACAGGAGCAGAAACAATTCCATGCGGGCCAGGCCTTCTCCGACACACACTCGTTTTCCTAGAAGTAACAATACTGATGAGACAAGAAGGGAGCCTCCAGAGGTAATTAACACTATTAATCGTAGGGCCTCAATGGGAGAGCAGGAGGGGCGATAGGCAACTAAAGCCTAAAGCAGAAGACACCCTCCCAGACGATGAGAAGCACAAAACATATTGACAAAACACAAGAATATTAGTAACTGATTCAAGGAGCAGATTGTATACTACAACAATCATGCAGAACTCAGCTGTAATAACTAGTGTCAGAATAGAGTATTGATAAATAAAAACAAAAAGTTACAATAAATAGTTGTTAAATCAAATTTTAAAAACCAGCATTAGGTTAGGGAAATTGTTTCCAACCAGTGAAGAAGGAAACATCTAATGCTCCCCCTGATGCCCCCAGGAAAGACAGTGATTGAGGTTAGAAGCCTGTTCAAACAGGAGGTGTTCATCTATCAAGTTGGTCCTAGGAGCCTCCTTCACCAGAACCCTGGTGAGGCACCGGCATGGGAACAAGGCACCCAGTCATATCAGAGAAGGCCTTGCTACTTCCTAAAGAGAGAGAGACTACATAATCAAAGGCTGCAGGGCTTTTGTTTTGTTTTGGTTACTAAGCCTTGTTTAAAATGATGAGGAATTAGGAAATATGTTTTGGGGGTTTTTTTGGTTGGTCCTGGGCTTGAACTCTGGGCTTGCTGGGCTTGGGCATTATCCCTGAGCTCTTCAGCTCAAGGTGAAGGCTCTACCACTTGAGCCACAGCACTACTTCCAGTTCTCTAGTGGGTAAGAGGTAAGAGTCTCATGGACTTTTCTGCCCGGGCTGACTCTCAACTGTGATCCTCAGATCTCAGCCTCCTCCTGAGTAGCTAGGTTTACAGGCATGAGCCACCAGCGCTCGGCAAGAAATATGGTTTTGAGATATTCTTACTATGTCCAGAAAAGTAGACACAGTTTAACAATGAATGTAAAAACACATTCCATCCAAAACATTGAATGGATAAAAGATGTAATCTAACTTCTCTGAACAGAGAGGAACATGCTCAGATCATGTTCTACATACAAACAGGGTCATGGCAGGACTGGGTGTGGTCCATGTTGGAGTGATGGCAAGACAGACAAGGAGTGGAAATGAGGAGTGGAGGATGTGACCCAGGAAAGCATTACTCTGGGACCCTGCTTACCTGCAGAAAATGGCTTAAAATAGTCGCTGTACTTGAACTTCCCATTTTCATTCAAAAAGTGCTCTGGCTTAAATTTATCTGGTTCTGGAAATTCTTGCCTGTCATACAAAAGTGAATCCAGGGCTGGAACTACAACTGTGCCCTAGAAAAAGTAGACACATTGGTCAGTCAGCTTTAGAAAATATGGTCTTTCACCTGGAACTCCCAATGAATAAAAGATTATCTGATTTTTATTGTGCAGGATATTAAATATATAGTTAAGAAAGTTGTTTAGTTAAGGACTAGACAGAAAACAACCAGGAGTCAATCCTAAATGAGATGACAACCTGAAACTTTTCACAAAATTAAAACCCTTGTCTTGGTTGGTGATTTTGGCTCCTGGGGTTAGAATGTGCTACGATTTCCAGGCCTCCTTTAGGGATGTACTCTCCGAGTATGCCCGTTTCTCTAGTCACCACGTCACGCGAGAACATCCCTGGCAGTAGGGTGGGAGTGCTGACCTGGACCACCATCCAGTCACCCTCACGACAGAAGCCCTGGAATTCCTGTCTGCACCCCAGCAGGCAAAGGGTGAGCCAGTCATCAGGACAAGGCTCACAGGAGGCATTGCATCTTGTCTCTGACCTTGGGAATCCGGTATCCTCGGAACATGATGTCCCGCGTCACCTCATGGGGAAAATTGGAGGGTATAAGGTTGATGAATCTCTGAATCTCATGCACCACAGCATCCATGTAGGGCATCTCCAGCCTGTCTTTGACGGCAGGGACGCGACTTGGCCCAATAACCCTGTCGATTTCTTCATGAAGTTTCTCTGCCAAGATATGAATGAGATCCATTTAAAGAGCTGATCCTGATCAAAGTAAATTGTATGCCCATATGGACATGTCTAAAGGAAACCCCTTGGTACGATTAATTGGTGCTAATAAAAATGTGAGAATAGACGAATACCTTGATTTCCCATCCACATCCTCCCGTGTATCTAATCCATTTTCCATCTACCCACTCATCTACCTATCACCTGCCCGTTCATCTTCATACCACCCTCCTACTCACCTGCCCACCACTCGGTTACATACCTGTCCCTCTATCCATGCACCTCTCATCCATGCACACATCTATCCTATCACCCTCTCACCATCCACCAAGCTACCATGTGTCACATTTATGTTACATCTTAAATTTGGTACCCAGATAATTCAAAATCTGGATAATTTCCTTATAAATGTCAACAAGACCTAAAGTCTCACATTCCTGGATGTGAGATTGATATTCAGTCAATAGAAATCTTGTAATCTATTATCTCACCTAATGATGGTTTATCCAGTTATTTTCAGGAATAAAGAATAATAAAAAGGTCTTTGAAGTTTTTCCTTGCAGAGAAATACTTGTCATTATTACCCATGGCTGCTTTGCTCTGTGCTTCAAAATTATATGGAGGGAAGATGGGCACCGGTGGCTCATGCCTGTAATTCTAGCTGCTCAGGATACTCAGATCTGAGAATCGCGGTTCAAAGCCAGCCTGGGTAGGAAAGGCTGTGAGCCTCTTATCTCCAATAAACCACTAGAAAACTGGAAGTGGTGCTGTGGCTCAAGCGGTAGAGTGCTCGCTTTGAGCTGAAGAACTGTGGGATAGGAAACAAGCCCAGAGTTCAAGACCCATGACCAATACAAAAAACAAATAAGGGTAACAATGGAACTGGACATGCATACTCCCCTTTGTTTGGATGTGCTGTGTGGTTGAGCTTGAGAATGGTACACAAACGTTTTGCCACTCAAATTATGCTCTAGCCTGTGTGTGTGTGTGTGTGTGTGTGCATGCGCGCGCGCATGCTGGACTGAGGATTAAACTAAGGGCCTGGGCACTGTTCCTGTGGTTGATGCTCAAGGCTAGTGTTCTACCACTTGAGCCATTGCTCCCCTTTCAGCTATTGGCTGGTTAATTAGAGATCGTCTTGTCAACATTCCTGCCATATTTGAATAACCATTCTAAGATCTTAGTCTCCCGAGTATCTAGTATTACCGGCATGAACAACCAGTGCCTAGATTTTTATTTTGTTTTGACACTGAGTCTCACCACTACCTTTTGCAAGGCTGGCCCACACCTACAAAGTAGCTTGAATTACAAATGTGTCCCATAATACCTGGCCACAGACTGCTTGGAATCTGAGAGTCCCTGTCTGCTAGAGCTAACATAGCCATTAGAAAATTTCTCAATCGGGGGTGGGGGGAGAGGCTGGGAAGGGATGTGAAGGGTAAACAAAGGAGGAGGCTACAATGCTTGATAAGAAATGTACGCATTATCCTGCCCATGTTATTGTAACCCCTCTGTACGGTGTGATCACAAAAAAGTAAAATAAAATAAAATTTAAAAAAAAAGAAAATTTCTCAATCCTTCTCTGTTTGAAATCACCCAGTAAACTTTAGGAAACATTAGATGAAAAAGCAAACTTCAATATGTCATTTATAGCATGGAAACCAGGTAGAGGATTAAGCTGTATACAGCAAAGATGTGAATGGGCATTGAGTTAATAGTAAATGCTCTGAGGGACAATAGGTAGCAAACCTGAAACAGCGCCATCTCTGGACAGGCAGGCAGGAGTTGGTAGGGCTTTGGCTGTCTCTGACCATGTACATGTTAAATTTGGCAATGAGCGTTGGGGAGTTGTCATATTTACTTTATGTCTCTATTAGGAATTCCTCATAATTAATAACTTTTCTGTCGGTGGTGGGCTCACACTCTGGATCTGGGCACTGTCCCTGAGCTTTTCAGCTCCAGGCAAGCGCTCTACCATGACAGCCACATCATCACTTCCATTTTTCTGGTGGTTAATTGGAGATAAGAGTCTCATGGAGTTTCCTACGCAGGATAGCTTTGAACCACAATCTTCAGATCTTGCCCTCCTGAGTGGCTAGGATTACAGGCATGAACCACTGATACCTGGTTTCAAAATTAATCATTTTAAATCTTTGTTAGATCATGGTTATCATGGTACAGTGATCTACACTTAGTTCTCATAGCACAGTGGCCAAAAGTTGGTTTTTTTTATTTTGGTCGGTTGTGGGGTGGAACTCTGGGCTTGGGCGCTGTCCCTCAGCTCTTCAGCTCAAGGTAAGCGCTCTAGCACTTGAGCTGCAGCGCCACGTCCGGTTTTCTGGTGGCTTATTGGACATAGGATTCTCACGGTCTTTCCTGCCAGGCTGCCTTTGAACCATGGTCCTCAGATCTCAGCCTCCTGAGTACCTAGGATTTCAGGCATGAGCCACCGACACGCAGCTTGGTCAAAAGGTTTTCTATGGGCTTGAAGCCTGACTCAGGGATAGAGTACATGCTTAATATGCACAAAGACCTGGGTTCAATCCCAGGTTTTTTCTTATACATGCTGCCCATGCATACAATCTCTCTCTCTGGACTTCTGGCTCCTTCATCCTTCACATTTCTGTGTGACAAAAACCAAAAATGTTTCTGGCTGAAGGACCAGGGATCAGGCCTGACCGTGGAGCTCTCATGCACCCACTGCCTGGGGCCATGGCTTCATTCCACACTGGCTCTCAAGACCTGGTGAGCTGGAAGAACACAGCACATTGAAGGTCTGCCCTTTGCCCAGAACTTAGTCCAGGTCCAGTCAGCAGCAAGTGTGCTTGCAGCAGTGCTCTGGACAGAGTGTACCAAGGAAAAATGGTGACAGGGCTCCAGATCTACAGGTTCCCTCACCTCACTTCTCGTTACTTGGAGGTTAGCACCAACAAGCTGTTTCTATTGAATTGTCCTCACCTTGCCTCTACCTGGCTGGGGGAGAGGGCAGGGCATGACCCTCTGCACAC